TGTCACGGTAGTAACGAAGTATTAGGAAAAGCTCTATTTTGAATTCATAGAGTCTAAATGCTATTGATTAATAATGAATACTTAGATTTTAAAAAAATGTCTTTTATAGACTCCTTGGGCTTTGTTTTCTTCATCTGTTTGGTTTGGCTGCTCTCATTTACATACTTGCTCTCATTAGGGTTTGAATTTCAGAGCTGGCCTCACTCTGCAATGAGAACAAATGTCTTGCCATGTGATACTAACTTTCCATTACATGCTGAAGCATTTGCAGTCCCAGAGGCAAAGAATTTATGGTTGGTACATGAGAGATAGAACCATCACATAAAAGAAGCCAAATTTGCAAACATATTTTTCTTTAGTGCGAATATAGTTTCAGGATAATGAGAACTCAGAATAATCAGCTAATGACCAGAAATGAATCATTATTAAAACACTGGGTTTTTTTTTTTTTTTTTTTTTGGCATAAAATAGCTAATGTTTCTAGTTGGTTGATAATTTTCATAGCAACCATGGTATTTGGCACGTCCTAAACCACTTTTCACTAGAAGCCTTCAGACCCCTCTGAAGCAGTTCATTATACTCTGAAATAGTTCTGAGAATCAGGGAGAATAATATACAAGTTTTGCTGATATTCTGTAACTGTATAGCCAGCATTGTGTAGCAAGTACTTAAAATATCCTACAAGATTTCTCAGTAATTCTCTAGCCAAGTAGGAAATTAAGTAGATGCAGCAGAAGAGATTCAAAAGTATTGGAAGTCAATCCCCAAGTTAGAGTTAGATCAGAATTTCAAGCTTGTTTTATTGTTTCTTAAAAAGTAAATAAACAAGTTGTTTTATACTTTAATAATAGGGTCACCAGTAATATTCATAACATTTACATGGCATCATATTTCCAAGGGATTCTGTATATGTCCCAACTTCTTGTTATTACTCATTATGCTCTGTGAGATTTTTTGGTGGCATATATTATTTTGGTTTTGACCAGAAAGTCAAAGGAAAAGAGTATTGAGAATAGCAGCCAATAACTATGAAAACTCATCACAGTTCTGTTCATATATCTGGTCATACCCTGCACACATATAGCACTCTATGGTTGTCAAAATCTTGGCATGCATGATACCATTTGATCTTTATAACCCTATATCTGTGTGACCTTGAGCAAATCACTCAGCCCATGGCTGTGACTCATGTTTGGAAGCTGGGTTTAATAGATACCCTCTACTAAGTCTATAGGAATGCTTCAGAATTAATAATAGAGTAGTTCAATGCATTGTGAATTCTGTAAAAGAAAGGTATTATTATAAATGCAAAATTATTTTATTCACCTAGCTTGGGACCCTAAAATTTAGGGAGACTAAGTGAGTCGGCTGCAAGTGTTTAACCACATTGATCCCAGGAAACACACAGAACCATGGATTAAAAGGTTGATGTTTTCTGGTTTAGATAAGGAGCATGAGATTTTATCATAAAGGGCAAAATACTACCTCATAAGTAGAGAATATTGCTTTCTAAAGAATATAACCACATATTCATTCTGAACCATGAACTCACTACTTTTATTTAAATGTGTCAAACAGTATGATTTTATTAGTTATTGATCAATATTCAGGCTACATGTAACAGTGGATGGCAACCAGTTTTCTTGAAAAGATATCCAATTTGGAGGCAATTAATCCCAGAATTATTATGAATTACATAAACTGAGAAGATAAATTGATAATATTTCTGATCAAAATAATATTTTCCAAATACATATATTTTCTGAATAATATTGTATAAACAATAAAGTGGTCAGCCTTGTCACTAATGTTTGACGTAGCTCATGTATTAGTATAAAACCTGCTGAAGAACATCAGATATTTGATAAGATATGTCAATTTCAGTTAAGCTAGGTTTTGCACCAACCTAATAAATAAAGAACAATAATTCAGAAGCTAGGAAATATAATTTCATTGAAAGATGGAAAGGAATGAGTATCTAGCATGAGCCAGGCAGTGTGGTAAATACATTTTAAATGTGTCTTTATTTAATCTCTATAACAGCTCTGTAGGATAAGCATTATTATCTCTAATTTAGAGATAAAGAAATTGAACCTTCAAGAGATTGAGGGCTTCTTCAAGAGTTTATAATCAGAGCCACATTTGAGCTGGATCTGAGTGATACCCAGGTGTATGTTCTCTCCATTACTCCATTTTATAATTTAGGAACCACCAGATCAGATGTTCCCGAATTTGTGAAGAGGAACTACATTCTGGTTTTTTGTTTTGTTTTGAAACTTCATATTGGTGGAGGGAGGGGTCAGGAGAAAGAGGTTGAACCTGATGTGGATAAATGTGAGGATAAGAGCCCCTGATAGTGAGGGGCTACAGGCACGCGCCACCAGGCCTGGCTAATTATTTTTTTTAAAGCTTTTGTAGAGATGCAGTCCCTTGCTCTGTTGCCCAGGCTGGTCTCAAACTCCTGGGTTCAAGCAATCCTCCTGCCTTGGCCACCCAAAATGCTGGAATTACAGGTGTGAGGTTCTTCACAGGGGGATGAAGTGAGCAGAAAGTAGCTGCTTGACAAGTGAAAGACGCAATGGACCAGTGTAGGCTTTAAGGTGCACCTGTTAGGCTGGTGTGTTGGGAACTGCCGATGTGGTTGGATGATGCTCTCTGATGGTCTTTCTGTTATATTAAGGAGTAGAGATTTTAAAATATTAGATAATTTTATGTTTCTATTCCTAAAATGGGGTGTGTGTGTGTGTGGGGGGGGTGTTGGTCTGTCATTTTATTTCACGTCAAATGAAGATGCATTTTTATCTGGAATGTATGTGGAACTGTCTTGGAATTTGGCTCTCCAGGGTCAGACTATGTCCACACAGCATACAAGCAAATTCCCAGGATACCAGGCTGCTGTTTGAAGTAGGCTGCTGCTACTTCCTCTCCTAGAGAAGAAGACACTCTAGTTCTAGCCCCAGCTCTGCAACTGGCAGATCACCTCACCTCTCTGAGCCTCTGTTCTTCCTTCTCTGAAAAATAAGGCCAGACAATTCCTAGGCCTCACTTCCAGTCCTTCTGTTCTGCAGTTCCACGAGAAACAGAAAGCATAGCTTATCCTCTAAGCCCTCTAAAAGGAAAAAAACCTAAAACAATTACCTTCCATGGTAAAACTGTCTGCTATATACATTTTAATGTTCCAAAGGATTAAAGTCCATCAATCTTGTAGACTCGTGGGGAAACAAGTCAGTTGGCATTTTCACACACTTTTTATTTCACTGTGTTTTAGCATTGTTAGAACATTTTTCTGTAGGGGAAAATTTTGCTAGAAGTTAATTCGAGTTTTTTATATCTCATTTTGAAATTTAAAGTAAATCACTTGTTTTGAGTACCTTATATAGGTGCTTTTTAAGCCACAAATAATTTTGTCAAACTTTGCAAAATTATGCTCTGCCCTCAGAAGTTATTTTAGGTACAAATTACTTGTTATATTAAATTGAATCGATGAAAATTTAAATGCTGTAATATTTAAGTTATTCCAACATATACACTTTGATGATGAATACATGCTAACTGGAAACAGTTTACTGTAGTTTTACTTTATGCTTTTCTACTAGTGATGTTCATAAATTCATGAATGGGTGGATAATCTTGGTAAGAAAATGAAAAGACTTTTAATTGTGTAAAAGTATGGATTTGTCTTCTTTTGGAGTTGTTGCTTACTCAGCAGACACCTGTTGAGTCCTGCTAACTTGACAAGCACTGCACTACTTGCTGAGATTACAAAGATAAGTAAGATATGCTCTGTGGCTCTGGAAAATCAAAAGCTAGTAGAAGATGCCTGTAGTTCATCTGGAAAAAGAGAGCTTATAAAGTTTTTTCTACAATATGACCTCATTTGAACATATGGGGTACTGTTATTATTTTCCTTATTTTACACAGGAAACTGAGTCTCATGGAGGTTAAGTTATAATGCTCAACTTGTTATTACTTGCCCAGTATCTGTTATCTCTTAAACAAGGACTGGGACCATGTCTCTCTTTTTCACTCTGTAGTTCCAGTGCCTAGCACAGTACCTGGCACATAATAGATGCTCCATTTGAGCACCTATTTGATGGATTAATAAATCCACCAAACATATTGATGGATAGTAGCTCCAACAAATACTGGATCATAGGAAAATATTACTAGCATTAGTCTTCTTACTCTTGAAGTAAGTACTTTTTCACCATGCCTTGCTGCCTCTGTAATTATAAACCTGTTTAGTATTAACAGGATGAATGCTTGAGGTATGGAAAACGAGCTATATGTACTGCCTAATTTTTTACATAAGGAAAGAGATTGCCTTTGAAAGGTAGAAGCTGAACACCCGTGGAAAAACAATAGGATAAATTCCCCAGAACTCAGACATCTTGGTACTCAACCACAAAAGCATTCTTTTTTTTATAAAGAAATAATTTGGTCATATGTGTCAAGCTTTCTCATTATTTAGTGGTTTGGAATAATTTTAAATTGGCCATTAGAAGTAATGGCAGCAGGTTTGAGGGCCTAGAAGTATTATATATTGTGTACTTTGTCAGTAATTTTTATGATATTTATGAAGCTCAGTATGGCTGATGTTAAGAGACAGGGTTATTAGCACTTCAGAACATAAGAATGGAATTCAGAATGACCTTGGAAAAACTGAGAGGTGTTGATCCTAAATAGGAACACATGTGGGGAGAAAAGACAAATGCACTATAACTGCAGTATGCAACTGTGGCAGGGAGGAATTTAGAAGACCAAATTCAGAATAACAAAGTATTAATCATTCCTATATTACATTCTTCAGACTATTACTGGAATACTATGGTCAGTCTCAGTCCTACCAGTTTAAAAGATTTGTAACAAATTGCATGAGATTTAGAAGATATGGAAAATAATTGAAGGTTAGAAATTTAGGAATGTGAAAACAGAAAATAAGTTGAATTTTAGTCATGTAAGGTCTCAAAATATTTTATCTCTCATATTTTCATTCTCAGAAGCTACTCAAGGATGTGCTCCACCAAAATGAAGATATGAAGACAATGAATACAAGAGACAGGCAAAGGGAGTTCCCAGGACATAAGCAAGGGACATCCCAGGTAGCAAGAGTGCACCTGATGTCCAGGGCCATCTGTCCAGGTAATGCATGTTATAAGGTGTAAGGGGAGATATTTTTCAGGAAGGTGAAAATAAAAGAATTCCTGATGCATTTGAATATTTTAAGAAAAAGGGCATGGTAACACATGCCTGTAATCCCAGTTAATTGAGAGGCTGAGGCAGGAAGGTGGCTTGAGTCCAGAAGTACTAGGCTGCAGTACGCTATGATCATGCTTGTGAATAGCCACTGCACTCTAGCCTGGGCATCATAGCAAGACCCCCATTTTAAAAGAAAGAAGGAGAGAAAGAAAAAGAAAGAAAAATGGAAAGAAAAAGAAGGAAGGAGAGAGGAAGAAAGAAAGAAAAGAAAGAAACAATGTTAAGCATTTGATGGAAAGTTTGGGGTTAAATTAGTGATATACACAGAAAATGTTTGCTAAAACCAACAAAAACCAACTCCAGGGAAGCAAAAGTTTTAGCCAAAATGAAAAGAAGAATTATATATACTACAGAGCTTCACTATAACTAACATAAATACTAAGTATTAATCTAATCAAAATTTTGATATAAAGATAGTAAGTAGATGAAAAGATGGGAAGGGTGGATGTGTGGGATGGGGCGGGAGAGGGTGGTGAAAGAAAGCTGTGCCCTTGTATTCCACAGTGAGAAGTCATGGAAAATGCCTACACTTGAATAATCAAATTAATAACATAAGCAAATATAGCGTTAAAAAGTTGTGGAAGTAAACATCAAAACCACCAACCAACAAATTAATCAAATGAGCAAAACAAAATTTCTGAAAACATTGAATGTGGCCGCCTTTGGAGTGGAGAGAAATATACTGAGGGGAGGAACAAGGGACCATTATTTTTCACGTCAAACCTTATTTAAAGCTTATTTAAACCATGACCTTGTATAACTTTGGTTAAGGCAAACAAAAATTAAATTATTTAACTACATAAAATATATTTAAGGACCTAATAATCACTAAAAGTAAGGAAATTTGTTTGCCTCAGGGTGATGACAACTGCTTGTTGTATTTACAAAGTCAAGATTTTGGTTTAGTGGTAAGTTCTGATAAGGACTGTTGTATGGGAGTTTCTAAACAGATGAGGCATTCCCTTTCCTGGAGCTATGGGGGACCAGCAATCAACGCTCAATAGCCTGGCATGGTTTAGGTGCAGTAATAGAGTAAGGCTGTGTGCATTTCCCTGTCTCATTTAGGTTCCTTATAATTCTGTGGGCCTCCAGCGGTGGTGTGGTGTGAAGACAAAGCACTGGATTTGTAGACACACAGACCCCAAGTCAAATGCCAGCTCAATCATATACTATTTATGTGACCTCAGAAGTGACCCAACCCCTCTGAACCTTAATTTCCTCATCCGTAAAATGGGGCCATGTGATATCCGCCTCATGTGCTAAGCCATTAAATGAGCTTATGTTTGTAAAGTATCTGGCAGATGCTCAAAAAATATCAGTTCCTTCCTCTCTGAAGTAGTGAATCTCCTCACAGATTCAGAGCAGTAATCATTTGAATCATATGATGATAATGTATATTCATCTCTAATGCAATCAGGTAGGGAATTAAAATACATATTTAAATATCTTCTTGTTTTAACTTTTACATGATACAAAACAACCAGTTTTCCTATCCTAGAAAGATATGCTTTAAATATAATTTATTTAGCCCAATTAGATAACTATTTTGATGTCCCGTAGACACAACTTGAGTGCTTATGTCTCACATATGGCCTAGTACTGTGAGAAGACTTCAGAAATGCTCAAGGCCTGTAGGTGATGGAATAGTCAAAATATGCCCCATCCAGCCAGTCTCCCAAATTGCTACATAACCCCTTGAGACCCTGTGAATCATAGTTTATAAGCAACTATTCATAAATATAGGCATTTTCCCCAGGGTGTTTTTTATATGAGGTTGCTAAAGATCAACTTAAATATGTGTATATATTTTCTTTGCTAAGTATTAACTCTAACACCTGACTCACAAAGGTGGAGGGAGGGGGGAAGGAAAAATCCGCTAAGTTACAGAGGCCAGAGAGACCCCTTGCAGAGAGAGGATGGCAAAGAAAGTCAACCTTTAAGAAAGGCCTCCCTAAGGAACAAGGACCGTGTGGTCCTGTGATCCTCTGTAATCTAAGTGCCAAGACTTAGTGCCAAGAATAAATGATCCTGGTTGATGAAGAGCAATCTGCCACTTCTAAGCTTTGATCAAAGATCAGAAAACCATCTCGGTGTTGCTGCGTCTGACATCTGCTCACATTTTCACAGTTTAGTGCCTATAACAGGAAGTGCCTATTTTCACCTTGAAATTCTTTCATTCAGTAGAAATGTTTTTTGTTTTAAATAATTTAAAAATATAACCAGTGAGCATCTTAAATTTCCATAATTGGCTCACAGTAAAATAGATTTCTCACCTCTGATTTAGGTGAAATAACTTTGTTTCTGCTTTATATTATTCTACTTTCTCTACCTCAAACAGGAACAAAAATTCTTTTAATAATCAATTGAGCTCCTCAGTTTCTTTAATTGAACACTTGCCAGATTCTGGGGATACTAAGATGACTGTGAAAGAGTATCTTCCCTGGAGGAACTCAGTTTCTATTCGGGAGTGATAGTGGGGAGAGGGGAACCCAGATTTGGAAAGAGACAAAGGTGATAAGAATGACAATAAAAGTATGTACAAAGGTTAAGATAACACAAAAGATAGAAAGGCCAACCCCGGAGCTTTCCAAAAAGGCTTACACAGAAGAGATAAAGTTGTGGTTTGATTTCCCAGGCCTTGTGAGAGCTTGCCAGTCAGGCAGAGACACTGAAGATACTCATGAAGGACAGTGAAGAAACAGAGCTTAGAACCAAACAGTATGTTTGCAGAGTGGCACAAAGCTCCATGTGGTTGTGTTAAGCAGTGAATGTGGGAAGGTAGTAGGAGGTGAGAACCAAGAAACAAGAGATAGAACATTCCATAGATAAATAACAGGAGTGACAGGCTCCCAGATGCATTGTCAAGAGAACATATGATGGCAAGGATGGGCTGGAGTGAGATGAGAGCCTATTTAGAAGTAGTCCAGGTGGGAGGCTGAGGCAGGCGGATCACGAGGTCAGGAGATCGAGACCATCCTGGCTAACATGGTGAAACCCCATCTCTACTAAAAAACATACAAAACATTAGCCGGGCATGGTGGCGGGCGCCTGTAGTCCCAGCTACTCAGGAGGCTGAGGCAGGAGAATGGCGTGAACCCGGGAGGTGGAGCTTGCAGTGAGCGGGAGATTGTGCCACTGCACTCCAGCCTGGGCGACAGAGTGAGACTCGTCTCAAAAAAAAAAAAAGAATTAGTCCAGGTAAGAGATGTGGAGGTCCCAAATTATGGCAATAACATATCAAAGATGGATGATAATTAATTATAAATCATCTAAAAATGTGAACTACCATGTAAAACCATACAAAGATATTAATTATTGATATTACTTTTCTGCATGACCTTGGAGTCTGTTGTGGCAACCCACCCCTAGTTTAGTAAATACTTGCTGTGGCCAAGCCAAATGCACAATGCCATCTACAGTAGGCACGTGCTACCATTACACGCCTTCTCATGACTTCCCAGGATTTACTAGGAAGGCTATTTGTGGAACAAGCTCATTTTAGCTTCTTAAATATCATAAAATAAACTGAGATTGCCCATTTTATTTTAAGTATGCTGCAGAAGACAATTAACTTTGTTTCCAGCACAAAATATAATGCCAATATAACTTTTGTGAAACGTAAAATGGTGAAATTTAAGGATATGGCTGAAGATACCCATGGTTTTATAGGCTTTTCACTTAGATGAATGAATGGATGACTTTGCCACAGCATTTTCAGCATTCCAGGCTTGTGATAAAATGGAATCCAGTTCAAGTTTCTTTTAACCTTCATTTTTAGGAACCCGTGATTACATATATAAACATTTATCAATATACATGTTTGGAGTTGACAGTGATTTAACATTTTGACCAAATACCTGTGCTAAATTCATTCATGAGACAGCTGAGGAAATCATTTCTGGAATAATTTTTACTGTTCTTCAGTGTTCCTCAGGCAGGAAGCCACAGGAAACAATGTATTGTGGTGCATATTTCCCTGCAGGATTTGGTATGTCATTCACTGTGGAGAATTTTGCTTTCCAGCTGCCTATAATTCACATTTTTGTACTTGCTTTTCCCTCCAGGATAATTTGATGAAGTCAGTTCCTCAGAGATAGAAAATGTCTTTCTATTTTTTTAAGACCAGATTTGTTTCTTTTCCCAACTGAGAGATAAACTTGATTAAAAAGAAAACATGTAAGTAGCCAGGATTAATTATTTTGACATATGAAATAACCATGATCGCAATATGAAATAGTCATTAGATAATTTTAATAATCTAGTAGGGTAAGTGCCTTTGGTTGAATGAAAATAAGGTCTGTCAAAATTTTGGATCAGTTTAAAATGTAGTAAATTAGAACCTGGAATATGGAAATGAAAACCACCCTTTTTCGAGAGAACTTCACTATTCTTTTATTAGGTCTGATTTCTACTTTAAAGTTTTTCTACCCTCCTTTTCCTTTCACTTCCCTGCGAAACATTGTCCCACTAGACGAGACATTAGACGAGAAAATAGCAGAATAAAATGTTTTAAAATCAGAACTAATATCCTCACGTTAAGCACGTTAAGCAACTATTTTTTTTAAACACCTACACCAGTGGATTTTCAACCTGCCTGTAAGAATCACTGGAGGAACTTTTTAAAAATGCACAGACCTTCACGCCTGTAATTCCAGCACTTTGGGAGGCCAAGGCAGGCAGATCACTTGAGGTCAGGAATTCGAGACCAGCCTGGCTAACGTCGTGAAACCCTGTTTCTACTAAAAATACAAAAAGAATTAGCCGGGCGTGGTGGCACGCGCCTGTATTCCAGCTACTGGGGAGGCTGAGTGAGGCAGGAGAATCACTTGAACCGGGGAGGCGGAGGTTGCAGTGAGCCAAGATTGCGCTATTACACTCCAGCTTGGGCAACAAGGATGAAACTCCGTCTCAAAAAAAAAAAAAAAAAAAAAAAAAAAAAGCACAGATTTCACCTTCTGAATTACTAATCCAATTCATATGAGGTGGGACCTAAGTGTTCACATTTCTCAGAACCTCCCAGGCTGACTTTAATGTACAGTAGAGTTGAGACCACTGGCCTCTACTGTCCTTTGCATAGGTGTCCGTAGGCTCTTTTTCAACCTGCCAAACCGGATTTCTCTATCACCCACTTAAAGACTACACTTGGGGTAACAGTGATAATCAAGCTCTGTGGTCTCCAAAGTGAGGGGTCCAAGATGATCTATTAGAGTGTGAGAAAAATATGAGAAGTTTATTTTTTAATCACATCCTTTAATGATATGTTTTTAAAATATTTTATGATGCACATAATGTATTAGTACAATAGATTGGGGGAGGGGAGACAGAACAGAAAACACCATTTTTCCTGTTACATAGATCCCCTCATTCTCTGCTTTCAATGAGAGCAGTTTCAACGTTGGCTTTTTGATGTCTGCTGATTGCTACAGACTTCTCTAGAGCTAAGTATGGAGTTTTATAAGACGCATGTCCTCCACTGCACAGCTGTATTCTATGACCAACCACAGAACACAATCTTTTCTTTTTTTTTTTTTTTTTGAGATGGAGTTTTGCTCTTGTTGCCCAGGCTGGAGTACAATGGCACGATCTCAACTCATCACAACCCTGCCTCCTGGGTTCCAGTGATTCTCCTGCCTCAGCCTCCCGAGTAGCTCGGATTACAGGCATGCGCCACTACACCCAGCTAATTTTGTATTTTTAGTAGAGGTTTCTCTATGTTGGTCAGGCTGGTCTCGAACTCCTGACCCCAGCTGATCTGCCTGCCTTGTCCTCCAAAGTGTTGGGATTACAGGCGTGAGCCACCGTGCCGGGCCTAGAACAGTCTTTCTTCCTAGGTCTTTGTCCTTCCCAGGGTTCCTGATACAGCTTTACCTCCTGATCCCTTCTCTTAGTAAAATTTCTTCTCACCCTTCCAAATTCTTCTAAAACACACAAGCATTTTTGGGTACAGTAACAAGAGAGACTTTAATATAGAAATGCCACCAAAATGTCCCCCGATGGTAAGAATTTTTGAGTTATAATGACGTTGTGGTCACTTTTTTTTTTTCTAAGATAGAGTTTCACTTTTGTCACCCAGCCTGAAGTGCAGTGGCACGATCTTGGCTCACTGTAACCTCTGCCTCCTGGGTTCAAGCAATTCTGCTGCCTTAGCCTCCCAAGTAACTGGGATTATAGGCGTGCGCCACCACACCCAGATAATTTTGTATTTTTGGTAGAAATGGGGTTTCACCATGTTGGCCAGGCTCGTCTTGAGCTCCTGACCTCGTGATCAGCCCGCCTCAGCCTCCCAAAGTACTGGGATTACGGGCGTGAGCCACCGTACCCGGCCATTAACTACAACAATTTAAGAAAAAAACTAATATGAGAACGGGGAAAATGGATGTGGTTGAATGACACGATTGGCCAGGATTAGACAATTGTTGGATCAGAGTACTGGGTACATGAAGGTCATTATTATATTCTGCTTACTTTTTTGTATGCTCAATTTTTCATAATAAGTTAAAAAAACCCTTTTGAATCATTTATGGTTCATTTATTTAAAAATAACCCCTTCTGCCACCTCCCCCCAGCCTAATATAAGGGCACCCCAAACCACAACTCTTGGCCTTGAATAATGTGCGAATCTATTTCAGATATGGGCTTCAGATTGGTGTGAATTCTGCTCCTTCTGAGGCTGATTTCTTCCTTCCTCGCCATCACTGACGACTTTATTTTGTCCCAGTGGCTATCTCTCAACCTGCCCACAATCACTTTCTTATAGTTAGCCTCCTCTCTTCTATCTTGTGTCTTTCATCTGCCTTCGTGGTTTTCTTAAGTCATTTGTTCTCTGCCTCGCCCCAAATCCCCCTCAGACATCAAATACTCAAATGTAGTCAGCATGCTCAGGCCATTTGCTCCCCTCTCCACCTAGTTCTGCCAGGCAGCCTGCCTCCCACTTCTGCCTCTGTTCTGGGGGATGGTGTGCCAGCAGCACCAGAGTAGGGACTTCCTGCCCTTCTTTTGCGAGCTGACCTAGCTCTGGCCTGAGGTCCCATCCTGGGTGCTCTGAGTCTTCCAGTCTCATGTCACAATCCTCCATGAGGGGATCTCAAATACTTGCAGATTGGGAGAAGGTGACCTTTCTAATTTTTTCTGCTGGGCCTGGTGGAAACCACCCCATCCCCTACCCCCACCTTCCTCGTCCTGTAAAATGGGAAGTCTTGATGCAGGTTTCAGAGTTTCTGTTGGGGGACTTTCTAGGATGCCTATAAATTTTCGAGGTTTTGCACCCCTTTTAAATGCACAAGTTCTTCTGAAAGTCCCTAAGGCATTTAGCATCATAGCTGTAATCTCTAATATTTGAAGGATTTCAGGGTCTTCAGATAACTTGGATACACACCATCTCACTTGTACAATTTTTCCCTGTTCTTTTGTAATGTGTACAGCACCTGATTTGCTCTTTCTGTGACTATAGCGGTTCAAAGAGCCACTGTCCTCCACTTTGATACACGCTCCATTTCACTGTTTGAGTATTTTTTTTCCCCTAACAACTTTCTGGTCCCCCACCCCTAGTGTGGCTAGGAGATACTGCATCACCACTTCCCTTTCCCCTACTGCTCTGTGACCTACCACGTGAACATGAGAAAAGTGTCCGTCAATGTGAACGAGCTCGCATCACAGTGTTGGGCAGCTGCATTCATTTTGACCTATAGTGAGGCCTAGGTTGGAGAACTAAGCGGGAGGGACTGGAGCGGGAGAGGGAAGAAGAAACAGATACTTGTTCACTTTCCCTTCTCTCTTTGCACTTCCAATTTTAGAGAGGCTGGAGGCTAATTTCCCAGTTATAACAAGGGCCTTCACTTTCAGACACTAGGAGAACTAAGCTTAAAACTTTCTAGCCTCACTGGTGATCGCATGACTGAGATTAAATAGGGAAAATGAAGAAAAAGAGAAGGAGAAGAAAAGAAAAGGGAGAGAGGTAGAAGACACAAGCACAGAAGGAGAAGAAAAGGACAGAATGAGAAAACATTTACTCCCATTTCTTTTTTTCTTTTATTTTTATTTATTTATTTATTTATTTTGAGACAGGGTCTGGATTTGTTGTCCAGGCTGGAGTGCAGTGGCGCAATCATGGCCCACTGCAGCCTTGACCTCCCAGTCTCAAGCAGTCCTCCCACCTCAGCCTCTCAAGTAGCTGAGATTATAGGCACACACCACTACGCCCGCCTAATTTTTGTATTTTTTGTAAATACCAGTCTTTTGCCGTGTTGTCCAGGCGTTTTGTTTTTGTTTTTGTTTTTTTTAATTTATTTCTTACATTAGAAGAAAGCTGGGATATCCTGTGACTTATTAAAATGCACTTCACTGGACTTCTGATGAGGTATTTAAAATGTCCAATTGGCAGCTAAACTGTTGCTATGCTAGGATTTATAGGCAAACTGAGGTAGTTTTTCAGATACTTTCTAAAGCAAGAAGTTCCTGATATCGAACAGGCAGTTTGTTATTGACCATATTGACTTCACAGCACCTCAATAATCTATTTCATATAAGATGTATTTCATATCAGGTTGGCACTTTTTGACACAATTTTCCAAACCATTGAAGGAAATTGCTTAAAACTTTTTCTTTTGCCTAGGCAGGCAAGACCACCTATATGTTGATAAATCTGGTTTATTCTTTTTGTATAAATCCTGGCAGGAGCATAAAAACAGTGTTTATCTTTTATTATTACAATGGTGATATGTTCACTTAAGGAAATCTAAGAAATACAGAAAAAGTACAAAAAAGAAAATACACAAATACGTATAAAAAAGATTTTTTAATATAAATTTTATTGTAGTATAATATACAGAAAATGCCCAAATTGTAAGTGTGCAGCTTGATGAATGCCACAAAGTGAATATACCCATGTAACCAACAGACTAGAACAGCATTCCAGAAAGAGAACATAACAGCACCCCAAAAGCCTCCCTCATATCCTCTTCCAGGCACTATGCTGAAAGTGATACTGACTTGTAAAGCATAGATCTTCTCCCCTCAGCCTCTGGTTTTAGACTTTTTAATAAATGGAATCATACAATAGTATGTAGTTTTTTTTTTGGCGGGGTGCCACCTCACATCATGCATGTGAGAGTCATTCGGTTTTTGTATATGGCTCTGCTCCACTTCTTTTCTTTTCTTTTCTTTTCTTTTCTTTTCCTTTTGAGACAGTCTCGCTCTGTTGCCCAGGCTGGAGTGCAATGGCGTGATCTCGGCTCACTGCAACCTCTACATCCCGGGTTCAAGTGATTCTCCTGCCTCAGCCTCCCAAGTAGCTGGGATTACAGGCACCCGTCACCACGCCCGTCCAATTTTTGTATTTTTAATAGAAATGAGGTTTCACCAGATTGGCCAGGCTGGTCTCGAACTCCTGACCTCAAGTGATCCACCTGCCTTGGCCTCCCAAAGTGCTGGAATTATAGGCGTGAGCCACCGCAGCCAGCCTATGGCTCATTTTAGTTGTTGTATAGTATTCTATTGTATGAATATACCACAGTTTATTTAAACATTCCATTTTTAGTGGACATTTATGGTGTTTTCTCATCTTAAGGCATTATAAATGGTGCTACTATTAACATCTTTATACATATCTTCTAGTGGATATGTGCACTCCTTTCTCTCCTAGGAAAGGGAGTGTTGGGTTATGTGGCGAGCATATGTTCAGCTTTAATAGATAATGCCAAATAGTTCTCCAAAGTGGCTATACCAATTTTACACTCTTGGCAGTCATTTTTAAAAGTTCTACTTGTTTCACATTCTTGTCGACACTTCATATGCACAGTCTAAAAAGACAAGTCGATTGAAGGTAATAGTTTACTTGATATTCTTCTTTTACCTAGACAGAGAAGACACGTATATTTATTCTTTTCATGTAAATTCTGCAGGAGCATATAGATAATATGTGTGTTTTTTTGTTTTTTGTTTTTTGTTTTTAAACAAAGTTTCACTCTTGTCGTCCAGGCTGGAGAGCAATAGCGCAATCTCAGCTCACTGCAACCTCTGCCTCCTAAATTCAAACGATTCTCCTGCCTCAGGCTCCTGGGTAGCTGGGATTACAGGTGTGTACCACCATGCCAGGCTAATTTTTTGTATTTTTAGTAGAGATGAGGTTTCAAAGTGTTGGCCAGGCTGGTCTTGAATTCCTGACCTCAGGTAATCCACCCATCTTGGTTTCCCAAAGTGATGAATTACAGGCATGAGCCACCACGCCCAGCCAAAATGTGTATTTTTAATTGTAATGATGATATATTCACTTAAAGAAATGCTGGAAAATTTTGGTCACTTTGGTGGTTAGGTAGTGGCATCTTATTGTGGTTTTCATTTCGTATGTTTATCAGTCACTTGGATATCCTGTTTTGTAAAATGTTTGCTCAAATCGTTTGCCTATTTTTCAGTTGGGTTGTCTGTTTTGCATATTGACTTAGAAGAGCCTTTTTAAATATTCTGGATGAGTCCTTTGCCAGATTTGTAGTGGAAATATCTTCTCCTATTCTGTGGCTTGCCTTTTCACTCTTAATGGTGACTTCTCATGAAATAGAAGTTCTTAATTTTAATGTAGTCCAATTTATCAATTTATTTTGTGATTAACGCTTTCTGTGTCCTGTTTGAGAAATCTTTGCCTATTTTAAGGTCATGGATATTTTCTTATGTTTTATTCTAAAAGTCATATTACCTTTTACATTTAGATCTACAATACATCTAAAACTGATTTTTATGTGTAGTTTGAGGTAGAAAGTTAAAACTTTTTTCATGTGTGTATCTAATTGATCCATTATCATTTATTGAAAAGACCATTCTCTCCCCATGCAATGTGAGTTTTAATGGGCTTATGGTATTTTATCATATAGATGTGACATTTAAGAGTCAAGAGAGCATTTTAGTTGACCGTTTTCTTATTTATTTTCCTTGATATTTGACCCAAGTGATCTAAAAGAAAAATCTATTGAAATGAGTGCTAAAATTACTTTATTCTATAAAGAATAAGTATCAAAATGCTAAAAACAGCCAAGCATTTGTTAAAATATGGCAAAGTTCTTAGTTATAATTCTCAGTTGACTATTAGAAGCCAAATAAAAGGTAGATTTTAAAAAGTGAGCCATGACTGGAGACTTACATAAATCAATATTTGTGGGGGCTTAGGTTAATTCTAGTTAATGGTGATGTTGGCCTTATTTTATTAGATGCACATTAAGCAGATGAATAATTGAACTACTCTTTAATGTATCTGAAGACTAGTTTGGGGAAGGTAGCAAATTATTGATAAAACTTGACTTGAGAATAAATTACACCATTGAAACTTATTGTTACTAAACTACTAGCAGTCATTCACTCAGTGACTTCTTTTGAGGTAGCTTTATTTAAGATGCCCCATAATTTTAAAGGTATTAGAAAAATGGAAACTTAGGAAGAGTTAATCTGACAAAGATGGCTATAATCCAAACTTAGCTAGGAAGTGAGTTCTGTATACAGTAATGATGTA